TCTACTGATTAAGGGTAGAGTATTGTTCTGATACTCAGAAAATAAGTATCAAAGAGTGTTATGAAGGACATCTGATTTTAAATTATCCAAATAACAGAATTAACATTCTTTATACTTTTTTAATTTCAGTTTATTAGTACATGTATATAGTAATTAATGTTTATAATCTTTATGAGAAGTTGATACATGTATGCAACACATTTTAATTCCTTTTCTCACCCCTCTCACTTATCTGTGGAATATTTCTTGATTTGTTTGTTTGTTGGTACATGTTTGCCATACATAAGATTTACATTCCTTGTGTGTAGCTGGTACATGTACATTACACATTCCAGTTAGTTTTTTGCATATCTTGTCCCTTTTCTCCTTCCCTCATCTTTTGATCCCCTTCTCTACTGAAAATGATCTATCTCCTTACTTTCTGTTATCTTTTATTTTGCTTTTTTATTTTTACTCTGGGCTTGTCATATAAGACAAACAATGCTGTATTTAAGTTTCTCTGTCTGATTTCTTTCATATGCCATTATAGTCTCAAAATGCTTTCGTTAAAAGTCTATTCAAAATGCCCAGCTACTTCTGTATATAGCTTATTAAGAGGATATTTACTGAATCAGTCTCTAGGGGACACCACTTTTTCAGATGCCTGATCAAAATGATCCTCATAATTTTACAGAAGGTCTAGCCCACAATTATCTGGCTCCACACATCATGGTTGGAAGGGCGTGGTACAGTAAAGTGGCTCATTTCATTGTGGCCAGGAGCAGAGCATGAGAACTGCATCTGAGATAAATACATCAGGGACCAAATATAACACCCTAAAGCAAATCTTGATGACCAACGAGACACACCAAAAGCACACTTAAAAAATTCACTGACAGTTCTCAAGCCAACCAAGTTGACACTCCAACTTGACAGTTATGTCAATTTTCAATCACTTTTCAACTTGATTCCCAAACACATCTTAAACCATACGAAATCTCCAAATAATCACAAGATCATAATTGCACTGGCATGACTTAATTTTCCCTTGAGCAACCAAAAATGAATTCATACTTTGTCAAAAGTATCAGTTATTCAAGGACATCTTAAAATTCCAAGTCAGTCTGCTGAAACTTAAGGCAAATAGTTGTGAACTTCTATACAATTGAAAAGGCAGGTTACTGATTATCAAAATACAATGGCAAAAAGAAAGGAACGAGGAGAGGATATAAAGGAATAAGGCAAAAGCAAGACCCAATTCCAGTCAGGCAAATATGAAGTCTTTTACCACCACATCCAGTCTCCCAGAAAGCTATGACTGTGATTAGTTTCAAAGGACTTAAATAGCCTCTTTCTTAAAACTTTGCTTGTTACCTAACCTCTCTCTTGGGCTGATTTATTGTTTGCAGTTTTCCTTAGCTAACATCTCACATTTTGGTATGCTGACTTCTTGGGGTCTCCATTGCATCCACTACTTCATTTCTATAGCTGCATGAACCCACCTCTTAGGTACATTTTACCTTCCTTTGAAATCTGAGCGGACACCTCCATGACCTCACAAGTCTTACACTCCTGATGCCTGAAAAATCAACACCATGCGAGCAATGCCAGCTCAATCAGAGGATAGGTCCCTTTTTCACCATGACTGCAGTGTCCTCTGAGTACCTGAATGCCTGAGCATACTGAAATGAATTCTGGAGAATCAACTCTCTACATAGTTCTTCCCCAGAAAGAAGCCCATGAACTCTTCACAAATGAAAGATTTATACCCTTGAGCCTACAATAGATCAGGGATTTCTGATTCCTCAGATGCCCTCAAGTCATCTTTATACTTTTCTCAATTTAAAGTACTTTCTATCTTTTAATATTACTAATTTCTTGAACAATTATACCATCATTCATTCCAGTAATGCATGGACTTCCTCTCTGGTCAAACTACACATTTTAAAGTCATTTGGTACTTACTCCTTTTTACCCTAGATTCTCATTGTATACTAGGCTAAAATCATCTAGCAGTACCCATGCCAGACCCTGCTATTAAGCACTCTTGAACATTTTCCAGAAGATTATTATTCTATTACTTTCTTTTATTTTTTAAAATTTTATTTAAAGGAGAAAAAATAAAACAAAACAGTATAAGGGTGCAAGTAATACAGAATTTAAAAAAAAACAGTAAGAAATCACTAGTTAATAAGATTACATATTGTCATCTTAGAAATAGTTGTTCAAGTTACAGGATTAAAGCATACAAAGTGGACATTCAAACAGTGAGACTGCAAACAGTTGTGTTCAATGATTCAACAAAAACTTAGTAATATGGTCATCTATCTTAACACACCTAAACACACTTGCAGTTGTATCCTTTAGAGCACTTTTTTTTCCCTCTCTTTTTTACAAAAACATTTACACATTTTGGGTTTTATTACTCCCATAATTCTTATTACTTAGTCTATCACTTTTACATTAGTCCTTATACAGAGTATTAGGACATGCTCAAAACGTAGGTAAGTTCTTTGCTAAAATGGAGCACAAAAGAAACACACCCTCCTCTCTGGTAAGCTGCGGTGGTGTGAGGGAGCAGTGGGCATGCCAGGAAGAGACCAAGTCAGCATATTCCGAGATCCAGCTTTGTTGCAACTTGGGGGGCCAAACAAGAAAGCAACCAGCCCTCCTTCCTTGTAAGTGGTGGTGGCACAAACAAGCTGTGGGCGTGCCAGGGAGAGAACAAGTCAGTGTCTCCCTTGAGCCTACTGGCACACAGGCTGAGAATCAAACATCCCATGTCCCCCTCTCCCCACCCCCGTTAGCAACTGAATGGTGGAAGACAGCCAGAGTTGATAGCACTAAGACACATAAAACAAGTAAATGTTTGTATTGTTGGACTGATTATACTGACCTGGGGTCAGCGGTCTAAGCATCTGCTGGGAGGATGACTGTATGCAACATAGCAAATACGGGGGATTTCCTTCCATCTTCTCTTTGAAGGCAAATATTGTTTTCACTGTTTTGCTTTGTTCTGATTGCTTTGTTTTATTCAATATTTTCTTTTGACACATTTTATCATGTTCTGTTTTTTTTGTTTTGGTTTTGCTATACCTGACTGAATGGACAACTACTGTGAACAAGATATGCTATGGTGCATATTACTGTTATCCCGGTATCCTGCTCTGATATTCTGTACCAGTTTCACTGCACTGTCTTGATTGGCTCTGTTCTGTCTTGTTTTGTTGTATTTTTCTACTTTCAAAATAAAAAGAAAATAAATAAAATGGAGCACAAATAACCAATAGCCTGATTTCCAAAGGAGTCATATGTTAAATCTCATGAGCCTGGGATCACTACTGTGTCAACTTGATGATGGGGTACAGAAGCCCTTGTTGATGGAAGAATTTTAGAAAGATCAGTTAGTATATTCTCTGAATAAAAATGTAAGCAAAGCTTTGAAGATATACCTGGTTTCTCTGGAATGTGTATAGGAAAAATATGTGAAGAGAGAAATTAAAAATGGAAATTATAAACCAAATGAGGCAGAATTTTAGAACTGAAAAAAAACCCAACTTGAAAAAAATGTGTAACTTTATAACTGGAGAGTTTTCAAGGGCATGGCTCAAGAAATGTTTGAAATTGTATGACCAGAAACAAGCCAGATGCTATTTAAAAGAAAATGCATAATTATTCTGATTTTATTTAGAGATTTCTTTGGCTGCCACTTTTATCACAGGGCCAGAGTGCTATGTCCCTGAGGGCAGAACTTCAAAAAAGAGGCCTAGAAAAACCGTTGAACCTGGAATTTTCATCCCTTCAAAACCTTGAATCTGTCTCCCAATTCTGGTGCAAAGTTCCTCTCTTGCCCATTTGTGGCTCAGGTAGGGATGGTGGGATAATCACAATCTTGAGAAAAAAATCATGGTGAGCAGTAATGTGCCCTGCTTCCAGAAACTCTGTAAGGACAGTGTTACCTAGAATCTTAAAAGCCAAACCCCAGATCAGCATGTTCAACAGAGAGTACAGATAGCCAAAGAAGATTATTTTCAACCTCCAGACTTAATTTTTGCCTTGTTGACTTTGTACTTACTTGGGAGATGTTAGCCATTTATGTTTTCTTATGTCATTTAGAATGGGAATGCCTATCCTAGATTGTCCTGTGACTATATTTTAGAAACACATAACTTAATTTCACGGATTCACAGTTAGAGGGGAATTTTCTTCAGGACGAATCATACCTTCTTAACCATATCTATTATATATGATACTTAGATGAGTCCTTGCACTTAGATTTCATAGTTGATGCTGAAATGAGTTAAGCTGTGAGGACTGTATGTATGGAATGATTATATTTTGTATGTAAGAAAGATAAAAATTGAAACTCTGTTATGGTTTCAATAAATATACTTTCTTCTCAATTTATATGTTGAAAATTAAAACCTATCATGAAATATGTGAGAGTCAATCAAAATATGGGCATCTGTCATGAATGGACACTTCTCAGAAGAAGAAGTAAAAGCAGCTAATAAATATATGAAAAAAGTATTCAACGTCACTGGTCCTTCAATAAATTCATAGTAAAACAAAACTGAAATTCCATTTAACTAGAGGAAGAATGGCTAATCAAAAAATCAACCAGTAACTGGTAAGGCTGTGGGGAACAAGGAATCATTCACCATTATTGATGGGAGTATAAATTGGTCCAGCCACTATGGAAATCAGTGTGGAGATTCCTCAGAAAACTAAAATTAAAGGTTCCAGTTGGCTCTCCTCAAAAGAATTAATATAACATACCCTAGAGATATATGGCATCACTGTTTATAGTTCAAATTTGTAATAGATAAATCTTGGAAATAGCTTGGATCCTCATCAACAGATGAATGGATAAAGAAAATGTGATTTTTAATACAATGCAACACTACTCTGTCATAAAGAAAACAAAACGAGATATTTTTAGGTAAATAGATATGCCTTGAAGTTGTACTTTTAAGTGAAATAAATTGGACAATGCATGTTTCAATATTGCTTTATTTCTGTTGTACAAGAAACCAAAAGGTTAAATAGGCACCAAAATGGATGATACAGATCATCTTTATAGAATTTACTTCTCAAAAATCAAAACACAGTTCCATTCAGTACCATCATGGTGTTCCCTTTCCACCTTTTCTCTCCACCCTTACCCCTGAGTCAGGGGACCCTCTCAAACCATGTTTTAAGCCACTGCTTTCACTGAGGTTACAAATTAAATCACATGCTTCAGTTTTTGGATTTATCTTAATTTAATAGTTAACTTTCTGTGTTTGATAGTTTTTAATCAATGTGAATTCTGAGCTAGAAGATGTTTGCCTTGTGTCAGACGTTAAATGGGCTCTGATGATACTGTGTGGGTCTCTGCATAAATCTTCATTGCAAATTTGAAATAAAGAAGAAACTGAAGATCAGTTGTAGTTTATATCCACTTACAGATAGGCAGAGTACTCTACATGGGAAAAAAAAGGGAAGAAATGAAAGTTACAGCATAGCTGTCCCAGAGATGTCATTACCTCTAAGATTCACTTTGTGTTGATTTTGCCACCTTCAGCAATTTGGAATGCCTCTTATTTTCTAACTGGCACAATTAATGGCTTAAGATCCACTTATGTCCAGTACCTCTGGTTTACATGGCATGTTTCTTTGCCAAAATAAACTACAGGGGAGTCCCGTGGCTCCATTGCATCTTTGGAATGTGGCACTGGATGAGTTGTTCAAGCTTCCAGGGGTTAAAAGACAGATTCTCTTCAACATCCCCAGTCCTACCAGTGTTTCCTTAACTACTTCTTGAGGTACTGGGATTGTGAAGTGCTGTTTGCCTTCACAACTACGATAAAAATAGTGCTGTTGGAGTTCTGCTGAAGATGGAAGGGAATCTCTCACAAGAATTTATGTTCTAAACCCATTTTGCCTTATCATGAAGGAGATTATGGACTGCATATTTCTTTTCTCAATCTAGCCTTCCTTATAAAGCAGATTACAGAATTCCTTTAATTCTGAGCAGAGAAATATCTTGGTTGGTAGCACCAGTTTTACTACAAGATATTGTCTGACTGTGCTCTTGTTAAAGGAGATACTGAATGGGAAAGGGAGTAGAATATGCTCTCATTTAACTGGGGGATTGGATAGGCACCTTAACTGAATCCCACATTTCAATCAGGCATAAAAACCAAATGTGAAAAGCTGCATGAGCAATTTTTTATTAAATATTTGATTAGTGTTAAAACTTGATGTCCCTATGTTGAAGTTTACAATCTGTGAACCATGTTTTTTTTTTTTTTTTTTTCATTTCCTTGACACCTGAATAATGTTATCATTACCATGTTCCGCAACTATTAGACTATGGGGCTTAAACAAATAGTATTCCAATAATAAACTTTTAAACTTTTGAAGAAAGCAGGTCTTTAGATGGAGTATTTCTTTAGCAGGAAACCATTCATTTGTTTGTTGAAAATCTTTTAAAATTGACTGTTCATTTTTTTGGTATTAAAATAATACTTAAATATTAGATTATTTAATAGGAGTACTTAAATGTAGTATGATTCCCCCCCCAAAAAAACCACTTTATTTTTACTTAAAAGTATCCATACTGAGTAATTTTAGATCATATTGACAAACAAAATAAAAACTGGCTATTTACCACCTTTTCAACACATGGTATTTTCAAAATGGCAATAAGCCTCTTATATGAAATAAATCGCAACTACATTTAATAGAGTAGTTATTTTTATATTATTGCTCTTTAATGAGGCTTTAATTTTTGCATTAAAATGAAAAATAAGTCACAGATTATATTACGAGTTTTTATAGGAAGATTCATTCATAAATGTAAAATCTACTATGTCCTTTTTCTAAATCCACAGTAAATGTATAAAAAATTTATATGCCAGAGATGGAACCTCCATAATTTGAAAGCAAAATTGTACAAATAAAGCTACAGGCATTACAATTCCATTTGCACAGATGATCTCAAAGAAAACAAAATCACTCAGTTTTACTTCTAAGTAGCTCAGAGCACAGACTTCAAGTTTTCTGAGGCTATTCTCATGAATTGACCATCATATTCTTGTTTTTATTTGTTATACTCACCTTTTCAAAATACATGAAGTCCTGGATAAAGGCAAAAATACAGAAATGAGTTTTTAGCAACATAACAGAGATCAATTCTCAGATACAGAAAGTTAAGGGAACAGGTCACGATCAGTTACATTCCAGTTACACAAAATATTAAATATGTAAACCTAGGGAGAGTCAGGAGCTTCCCCTTTCCATTAATAATGTTTGAACCACTTACTTTTACTTATCTGTTGATACACGCATTAATTTAATTAGTTGCATGCCAATTGCTCTAATATTACTTTTGGTATCTTTTTGCTTTATTCTTTCTTCCTCAAGTTTTGGTGGTTCTTTTCAAGTCATAAAATTCTCTTGAGACTGGATATCTGTTTACAAATTTAGGTAATTTTTGAAGATAACGACAGCCATATTAGAGGAAGAATACAGTATGGGTGGAACTTTTTTGATTCAGGGTTATTAATTCTCTCATCAATTTATCTCCTATGCCCCGACTTGACCCACTTCATCACTGTTTAACCAGAGCCTTCCTTTACTGAGTTCTTCCTATGGCCTTTTTCTTACATCAGTTGTGCTTCTTATCCTTTCAACAGTAATAATTTAACACTTTGCCAATCACTTGAATTGTACTATTGCAATTTTACCTTTCTTCAATCCATTTCCTACATGCTAACCAGGATTTATTTTTCTGAAGTTGGGTTTATACCTATTTTATTTTAAACTGACCAGTTAATTAAATGATTTTCAATGAGCAAAATACTGTCTACAAAAATTGTCTAACCTTTTTTTTTTTTTTTAATCGGTACTGGGAATCGAACTCACGACCATGCGCTTGCAAAGCAGGCGCTTATGCCGCTAAGCCAAATCCCCAGCCCCTAAAAACTTTCTAACCTTTAAAAATGCTTTTAAAATTTGTTTGAATTGACACACAAAAAATTTATGCATATGTAGAGTATTTCAATTCGTGCATACACATTGTGCAGTGTTTGAATCAGTTAAGCGTATTTACCACCTTTAACATTTATAATTTCTTTGGGGATAAAATATTAAAAAGTTTTTGTGCTTTTGAAATACACAGTTCATTATTGTTATGTATAGTTACTCTACTGTGTGATAGCACATAAGAGTGTATTTCTCTCCTCTAACTATATCTTTAAAGGTTCTTAAAAGAAGACCATAGTCATTTCTTAACAATCCTCTATGTCTCTCAGCCCATTTCCCATTGTCTACCTTCCACAGTGTTTTATTTGACCAACTGTAGTCCACCCATTCCCTAGATCCATACATCTTTCCTTGCTGCCATATTTAAAAGCAAGTATTTGATACTAAGCCACTGTATACAGAAGCAAATTAGTAAATGTTCCTAAAAGTATGGATCATCTTACTTTTTATTTAATAATTACCATTTTATTCATACACATCTAATAATAATTTCATAACAATCAAATAATAAGTCAAAATTCCCTGAATGTCTCATAAATGAAATTTAAAGCAAACATGGTATGCAAACATGACTTATTATCTATCTTCATTAAGTCTATTTTGCTTTGCACTTCTATTTTCCTTGCAACTTATTTATTGAAGAAACTAGGTTCTTTTCTGTGTGTATTTTTACACCTTGACTACATTCACAAATCAGTGTTTAAAATATTCCTCTGGTGTTTCAGACTTGGCAGAACAGTGTAATCACCTAAGACCTCTGGATTGATTTAAGGCTGGGACTCACCTGCAGTGACTTGATATAATATTTTCATACAAAACAGACAGCTATTTGTGTGTGTGTGTGTGTGTGTGGGTGCACCTGCACGTGAGAGCTATGGTAACTTCAATGGTGGAAAACCATTGCTGTTCCTATAGTTCTCAACTTTAGTTGCATACTGGAATTAAATTGCGCTGCATAATTTTCTGATTTATCTTCTGATTTAGCTGAACTGGGATTTAGTTTCATAATTAAGGCTTTGTTTTTATTATTGCATAATTTACACAGTCTAGTGGGGTTTCATTCTTCCTTTCCTCCTTTACCTTCTCTCTCTCTCTCTCTCTCTCTCTCTACTTCTCTCTCTCTCCTTTCTCTCTTTCTCCTCTCTCCTTCACACACTAACTTTATTTCTTCTCCCCCTACATTTCCAAATGAAAGAAAGATTATGACATTTGATTTTCTTAGTCTGACTTATTTCACTAAAAATTGTAGTATCTTGTCCCTAGTATGAATTTTCCTGGAAATAACATATCATTCTCTTTTGGCACTTGAATTTTTTAAAGCTCAAAATCACTGTTTCAGCTTACATATTTCCTATCAACCTATAGATCTGGATGCTTGATGTGCACATGCCGCTATTGTACTTCTATGATAGATGATTTAGTAGTAAAACAGGACAAACTATCCCTTTCATTTTTTTTCACTTAAGCTCAGATTCAAGATGTTCTCCAAAACACTACTTTTGTGTTTTAAAAGAAGGAATTCTGCACAAAAAGATAAAGTCCTCTTGCCTTGTGAAAAAGCAAACTCAGACAGAAATTGAGTATCTGTGAAATTGGAGCATCATTCTCAAATGGAATTTCAGAAGTAGGAACAAAAGGAGATCACTCTATAAAACAATCAAGGATCATTTTAGAATATATAGCTTACTAAATCATTTCAGAATGACACTAGAGAAACTACTTATGAAGCAAGATGTGTAAGAGTGGACTTACAATGAGGAAACACGCACCAAGAATCACAGCCTTCATTTTCACATCAAGATCTACATAAAACTGGATCATAAAGTTATCAACATCTGTGAGGAATTCTGGAATAACACCAGACCAGTTCTTGGTAATCTTGCCAACTATGTATTTTTCATCAAGTGATTTAACCTATATTGCAAAAAATAAAGTCTGAAAGATGTCTAGAGAATCATGTCAAATCTGCTTTCAATTTTGGAATGAAATTTAAAAATACTGTATTAACATTATGCTCATATGTAACTATGATCTATAATTTGTATTATACATATGTGCTATTATATGAAAAATTGTTTCATTGTACATATAAGTGATATGAGATTTTTGCTGAAATAGTTAACATTTTCTATATTATACAAGACAATAATAATTTAATTGATTCAAGACAAAATCTAAGAACAAAAGCTGTTTACAATATTTTTTGATAAAAATTCTAGTACTTATTATATTTCCACTTTAATAGAAGCATACAGAGTCCACATAAGCAGCAAGTTTAAAAGTGATGGAGGGATCACTGCTAACAACTGCCAGGGAAAAACAGGAAATGCTAACAATTTAGAAAAGAGTATTGTCAGTTTTGAACAAAGGAAATAACTGATACACAACTTGATGTTTCTTGCTCACTATATGAGAAAGACTAGATATCTAATGAGTTTAAATAATAAAAGAAAAAATATATATTCACATTATATAAAGACATTGCAAATGTTAATAATTTAATACTAATAACAAAGATATGAGTACAAGATTCCAAACATAAATACAGAACTGCTTTGGGATATCAATTTCAAATGGGCAGATTTTTTCACTACTAAAATTCCTTGAAGGAGAAAAACTCACATGTATTCAGGTGGAGGGTCTATTTGGCTCTCTCCTGCTCCTCCATAGGAAAGTCATCTCACACCATCAACTGCTGTACATAGAAAATTCTCTAACCTTTTTCACTACATGACTAGGATCCAAAATGACTGAAATACAAATCCCTAACTTTCCCATATATCAATTGTTTACCCCTAAAATTCTTAACTTGGCCAATAATAATTTTTAGGTTCTTAAATATGTGACATCTGAATAATAAAGCATAATAATTATCTGCAAATTTTCTTTCATCATCAACTGACATCAAATGAATGAATAAGTCTGCCTGGTACATCAGAAATGTCTCTTGAATTAGTTCTTCCTTTAGAATAACATCCACTTTTGCTGTGGTTCAGGGTTTTATATCTTCTTCTACTAGAAATTCCAGCATCCATGAGTACATCATACTAATTTCTGCTTTAAAATGTCAGTCTTTTCATCATAAATGCTGTAGAAAATGAATCATGTGATTTTCTCAAAACTGTCAGGTATGGTGCCTAGGTATTATCAATTCACAGAAGACAGAAATTAAGTCACTACAGATAGATGTTGCTGTCCATCCTTCTTTCCTTTCTTCTTCCTTCCTTTCTTTCTTTTCTTTTTTACTTTTCCAGAAATCAAACTCATGACCTCATGCTTGCCATGAGGCACTGTGCCACTGAATTACATCCCCAAACTGATGCTGTCTCTATTATCTTTCTTCTCTCTGGGACAAATCTGTCATAAACAGTTTAAAGAAAGAGACATTTATCTTGGTTCGTAGTTGAAGTGGTTTTAGTTGGCTCAAAAGCAGAAATGGCAAAGCAGGAGGGCCTGGCAGGGGAAAGCTGCTGAATCCACGGCAGCCAGGAAAAGCAGAGAGACTGAGTGAGATACCCTCTTTAAGAATGCTTCTTGTGAGCCGCCTTTTCCAATGGGGTCCCCAAGCCTAGGAGCACATTCAGCTATAAATGTATCAATGAATTAATTCACTGATGGCTGTAGAACCCCATGATACCTTTAGGAAGCTCAACATCTGAATATGTGGGATATTTGGAGGACAATTCCACTCTAAATTTTAATAGGTGCTAAGTCATACATAGAGAAATGTTGGTAGATAAAAACTAATTTCTAAATGTTAACTATAAAATCTTTCACAATGCTTCTAAAGTGTTTCCACTTATTCCTAAAAATAAAACATGTCAGCTAAATTTCTGGTAATATTCTTCTTGAATATTATTTTCCTCAAATATTGAAAGTACCTTATTTTTAAACTTTGCTAGATTTATGACAAGTGTGCGATTCCCTCATGCAGAGGGAAATACATACTTTCACATAAAGTATTATATACATGTATTACCCACACACTGCTGCACTAATGTATTTTCTTAAGACTATCTCTTTTAGAAAATGACATCTATATGGGGAAGTATTCACCTGTATGTAATCAGATTCTAACAGAAGAATCAAAGTTTATAGGAAAGGTAGACAGATAGATGTGATAGAATAAAGCTAGATAATGAAAAATCTCAGGGATGTAGAGAGACTGCCAGACTACTTATCTTCCCATAAAAGGGTAGCCCTACTGAGCTTTAGGATGTTTCTTTTTCTTCTCTTAAAAGAGGGTCCAATTTATCAGACTGTATGATTTTCCAGGAGAAACAAGATATCAACATTAAGTTTTAAAAAAAATCTTCCTATCTTTAAACATTTATAACTAAAACTATTGGGTTTATTAGGTTGGTTCATCAACTATAAAACATTCTAAGAAAATTCTTCTATGTAGTAAATACATATATGCATACAATAAACTAATTTCATAAAAGGATAAAGCATAGATAACAGAGAATCATAACTGGGTAATTTTTGCACATCCTTGCATCCCTGGTGGGTGCCTGAAACTGCATATAGTATTGAACTCTATGCTTTTTTCTGTAAATGCATGCTTATGATAAGTGTATAAATAAGCACAAAAAGATTAGTAAAAATTATTAATCATTAAACCAAAAATTGCATGCACTATAGCACTCTCTTAAAATATGTATTGTATTGTACCCAAAGTTTTCCTGATTATTTGGCATAATTTAAAAGGGAGTAACTCGTGTCGAAATTGTGCCTCAGGGTTAGGCCTCTACATAAAGATTATTGGAACTTCAGTGGCAAGATGTCAATATAGTTGATCCAGTAACCAACTTTTATCAAGAATGCTGCCTAAGTAACTGACTTTATGATTCCATAGCATATACTCTGGAAAAAGAGATGACTCATATGCAGACAGAAGATTCAAATACAGTGTAGGGCAAAAGATTCTGACACAGTGCTCAGGATGGCATACAATTTAAAATTTAATAAATTATTTACTTCTGGAATTTTCCATACAATATTTTCAGAACTTCGTTGCATATTTTCCTTTTCTATTTCAATACTTTATGTATAACTGAACCTAGGGAAAAATTGTAAAAGAAGTTACTTTTGTATTAACCTTGTATTAGTCTGCTATCTTATTGCTGGGACAAAATACTGACACCTCTGATTTAAAGGAGGTGACATTTAATTTAGCTTAAGTCTTGAGAGATGAACTACATGGTAAACAGGCTGCAAGTAGGAACATCATGCTTAATTCATGGCGGCCAGGAAGCACAGTAAAAGAATAGTATCAGAGAGGGAGGGGCAAGATACTAGACAGAGATTTAAGACCACCCTTAGCTGACCCACTCAGGAATACCCAGAAATGTGCTTCACCAGTATCCTAGAGAAAGATCTTAAAGTCACTCAAATTGACACTCCAACCTAACCACCACATTCTACCCCTTGTCAACCTTATATCCAAATATACATGACTGAATCATACTTACTCTCCATATTGAAAAGCATATCAAGTTCATAATTCTTCCAACATAAAGCAACTATCTTTCATACCTGCATACAACCAGAAATCCAGCAGTGTTTCAAACACTGTACAGTTCTAACCTTTTTCAAAAGTCAGTCAATGTCTGTTCTCGAGGCAAACTCTTGAGACTCGAGGCAAACTCTTGCTTGTGAATCACTGTTAATAATCACAAACAAATTACACAACCCAACGTACAGTGTGAGATGGTAAGAATTCTCCTTCCAAAAGGAAGGATTAAGAGGTTAGACTCTAACCAAAACAAGACTGAATGAAACCTAGTAGAGCAAACATTAATACGTCTTGTAACTGCAAGTTCCGTATCTGGGACACATGGTGGTAAGATGTCAATTGCAGAGGGCCTGAGCAGACCTATCCCTATGGTGTTTGAAGATAGATTTCATGGACTCTCTCTGGAGTTAATCCTAATCTCAGTATGAATTTTCTATAATGGTTATTTTTCTTGTTGCTGGAACTCAATCCATAACACAATTTATAGGAAGAGACATTTAATTTGGCTTACAGTTACAGGAAAGTCAGTACATGGTATAAGGATCCAAAGCAAGAACATTTTGGTGGAAGGGTATAATGGAGAAAAGATGCTTAGTTCATGCCATTTGGAATGCAGAGTAGAAGAACAGTGCTGTACAGGAAAGCGCAAGAGAGCAGACAGAGACCCCAAGGCAATGCTTTCATGACCCACACAGACACACCCAGAGCATGCCCAAATAATCCCCCATGGCAAATTCCAAAGCCAATCAAGTAGACACTCCACCTTAACCACCACAACCTTGCTAAGTTATTTTGGAAGCACTGGGCCTTTTGTGGGCAATAAGGACGACAAATTTTGAGAATGACCTAGAGTACCTACAGTTGAAATGCAGATGAAGGAATAATTAATGAACTTGGGCAACTAGATTTTTATCTAACAAATTATTGCTCTATTTTGTGTTGCATTTTTCCTTGTTTTCAACTTTTTATTAATTATACTTTTGAGAATCTGATAAGTAGTCAAGATTGGTCTTGAACTTGCAATAATCCTACTTCGACCTCCTCAGGACTAGTAACATGGAATGTTATCATATAGAAATCACCATCTTTAATGTTTAGATGTTAAAGTGCTAGATATTTAGTTTCTATATACTTATCTACATGGCTGCATTTTTTCCATTCAATACTAATCTTTAATAAGAACAGTGAACATCACTCTGACTAAAACTAAATATGGCAGCACATTGTCTCTCTTTGAAATATCAATATAAAATAATGTATTTTCAGATTTATGTGAAATGATGTACTTCATACATTATAAAAGTAAATCTTATAAATATCATGACATTTCTTACCTCAAAATTAATATCTGTACAACATGTGCACCTAATACAAAAGCCAATAATTGTTAGTACATCTTCTTTCTTCTCATTTTGAATGATAAACTTCTGCTGAATGGTGTGGAACTTCTGAATAACATAACCTATTGGAACACCAGGAGGAGCTTGGATTTCTAGCTGCAGCAACAAAGGAATATAAGAAAAAATACCAATTATAAATATTTGTGTTCAGTGAAAAAGTGAAAATTCTTTCTGAAGAACTTTACCAACTTCCCTGATAATTGCACACTGACCTTCTGAAGGTAACATGGGAAGCAAAAACAGTCACATCTCAGTGGTCTTTCCAAGGTTGCAACTTCTCGGCCCATATTATCAGTAATCCTCATGGTAAAAGGTCTGTACTTTCCAAAGCAATTTCTTATTGCAGGATGAGTATCTTCCATTGCCGAGAAAAGTTTCTGTCCAACCCTGTCCTTAATTTCATATTCATTATTAGTTTGAAAGCCTGAAAAGCCTAAAAACATAAAAGGGGAATTCATGATCTTTTGTTGAGAGTAGTGAATCTCTCCTATATATTATGACTTCAAACTGTATCAGCGTTTGATGGGACTTTGAGCGGAAGAAGAATAAGAAAAAGGAAAGGTGTTTAGAAGTGATCCAAACTGAGAAAAAAAGAAAATAAGAAACTAGTCCAGTAAGAAAAATTGAGCCTTTATGTAAACCATAAAAAGTAATTCTTTTCTCCTTATTCCATGTGCTGTCACATAGTAAGACTTAGCTGCAGAGGACAAATGTGATGCTATAGATGGTCTCTATGGTGCAGGGAGTAAAAATGAAATGCCCACTTTTGGTACAGTGTTAATGTATTATGGAGGAGTTATAGAAGTGTGACTAATCATATTCATATTTTATGAAAACTTGTATTAAATTGGTTGAGACATTTTAGAAACCATACATTGGTCTATTTTTTACGCCATGTTTGAATATGGTAGTAACATTTTATTTTCAGTGCACACATGTGAAAAGGAAAACAGTGAAAATAGAAAGGTAATTAGAACATCACATTGATGCCAGAGCATTTCTGTTAAGCTTAGCTGCAGGTGTAAGTAGTTTATGGGTGTTAATCAGAGGAGATGATGTCTGGAAATCAGAACTTTAACTCATGACTACACAGGTAATGGGTATATTAAGAGGTCTCTGCATCTTTCTGGGGCTCATCTCTGTTGAGCAAACAGAATGATGCTAAGTGCTGAAATATATCTTACCAAGGACTTCCCAAAAAGAACCAACAACTTAGAAACACTACTTTTTTTTTCATCTAGAAACTAACAATATTCAAACTTGTGCGTAGCCTTCAGATACTAGATTTATAATTTATTGGATGATTTACCAAAATAACAAGAGTTTATAAGAAAGGAGGCCAAAATCACACTGTAAAGGTACGCATATGGAGCAAACGTTAGTCTGGTGGAGAAGGCCAGTAGGAGTCCTATCACCATGAACTCCCTCAAACATCTTTGGGGAGATTTAGACAGAGATGAACTTGGTGACTAAAAGAATAATCCTTGACCTCATTTATTTGAAGAAAAAAATTGGTTTTGAAAATATTTATCATCTAAAGGATTATTTCATTAAGCTTAATCTTTAGTAATTTCACCTCATTCAATTTTGTTACAATATGTGTTATATAATCTCTATGTTTTATTCTGTATATGTAAAAGTGAAAACAAAACCAAAGAATTCCATACTTATGTCTTTCAGATCTAATATGCTTTGAATTGAGAAAAAATGCAATTGTAGGCTATATGCTCAGATTGTATAAAATCTTGAGCAATCGTCACCTTTTTTGTAGGGAGCTGAGTGACAGCCCATTGCTGCCTCCCTGCCTCTCTCTCCTATGGGCACTGCATCTGCCTACATTAACCATAATCCTCTCCTGCTTACGTCACATATCCGGATGTGATGGTGACCCTGTTGTATTCACCCCCTTAACCTCTTCCTGCCCTTAGCCTATAAAAGGTGTGATCATTTCCTGAATAAATGGAAGCTTGATCAGATTATTTTGTCCTGCTTTCATCTCTCTTTGTCTCCCCCATGTCTTTTATTTAATACCCGTTCCCCCTTCAGGAGTTCTTCATAGATTGATCTGCAGGCCGGATCACTTTTTTATACTACTCATAGGATAAAAAAGTAGTATAGGCCTTAAATTTAGGAGAAAAGTGAAAAATTAGGACATGTCTTTTAAAAAAACTTAGGACATCTCTTTTAAAAAAACGGAGAATTCAATAAAAGTAACTTTGAAGACTATACTTCATGAAAAAAACACATTTCACATTTATAAGGTCTATAAATCTAAAAAGATACATGATGTGTTGTATAATGTATGGTATCTGGCCACTTGGATTTTATAGCATAAATTACAGAATAAATTATATTCAAATATTTAGAATACAAATTATCAAATAATAACCTCATTTCCAAAGAAGTCTTAGTTTAGAGAAGCTAAACAAAATCAAACAAAACTGTCCATGCTCAATCATTTATATTATAATAAATAAGTATAATGAGCAACAATTATAAAATAAAAATCTCTTCCTCATCTTGTACAATTTATGTCCTAATTTCCATCAATGCAAAGGAACTTGCAAACAGATGAAGATGGTTTTAAAGGACATAGTCTACAAAACAGAAAATTTTTTATTAACTTTTTCATCTAAAGAAAGATACCATGTTTCCTACATATATATAGATTTTATTCCCCTGGCAGTTGTCCTGAATTATCTAGTTGCTTCCTAAGGTTATTCTTACACCTGAGATTGCATCAGGTTCAGAGGAGCAGTAGTGGTCTCATAAAAAGGTGGCATCCAACGTCAAACCACCTTCTTCCAATGCTGCAGGCCTCTGATTCTACCTGAGGTAGTTCATGGAACCAGCATCTTGCAGGACTCATCTGAACTCCTTTAAGGAAGTGTTGCCAGGAACAAAACTTTTCCATAAAAACCCTATCCGTTCAAAAAGTTCAATGTCTTTGGAAATTTACTGATGTGACTAAACTAGTCATTGTGGTTCTATGCCAATTCCAAGTTGACCACAAAACTGAAATTCAAAACTACAGTGGTAGAAAAAGTAAAGTGATAGACTAATTCAAAATGATTTGTAGAGAAGGAGGAAAGCAAAAGTAAGTTTAAGTTGTTTTCCTTCTAAGCCAATGTCAGTGTTTTGAGAATATATGCTCAGTAAAAGTATTTTAGAATTTGACTCCTAATTTTCAAAAATAAACTGCTAGTAATGTTGACATTTTTGTTTTGTGGACACAGATATTCGTTAACTGTCCCACATGAATTACAGCACTATATTTTTGGTGGTTAATATTCCTTTTGCTGTAAAAACGTCTTCTCTTTCTAAAAGTATCATCAATGCACCGAATATGCACCTTTCAGAGGTGTCATTTGCTGGTTAACCAGAATCAGATCTACCTAGTAAAAGAAAAAGAAAGTTTAGTGTATATAAACAATTATCAGTACTTAACATTAGCAATATTTAATGTTGTATTAGGCTTTCATAAAAAACTAACTTTAATATTTTAATAGGTAAAATATTTATTGAAATTTTCATTAATGTAAGAAAATTTACATCAATAAAATAATTTACACTGGAATTCATACAACAATGCTGTATCTAGAAGAAGTTCAAGAAATGTTAATAACATTTTTTATTCAGTTAAAAAGATTTCTCTTCTGTGTGTGTGTGTGTGTGTGTGTGTGTGTGTGTGTGTGTGTGTGTATGAGGAACTGAACTCAGGACCTTGTGCTTGCCAGGCAGGCATTGTGCCACTGAGCTATATTCCTGTCTCCTTCAAATTTCTATCTTACTACAGATTTCCAATTTTAAGTGTACTTGGCTTTAGCTATTGTAGTAGGTGATAATTTTCTGTAAGCCATGTATGAGATCCTGATTTGGAAAATGTGTGCTTTAGAGTATTTCTCAAAGAATATAATTATGGCTAAAATTGCTATTTTATCCTGTTCTAGTGAAAAATTAAGTCAGTAGAGTGTGCCAAAGACCACCTCATTTATTAAAAACCAGTTACACATCATAAAACTTTTGTTTACAGATTGAACACACAGAACTTTATATCATATTTTATGCACCTCATTTCTCACATTAAATGAAAGTTAAACCTCACGTCCCAAAATTCACTATTATTTAGTACAGCAAAATAGTAGTCTTCATACTTCCTTATGTTTCATATTTTAAAAAACTAATATTCTAAAGAAAAAAGCAACATTATATATGCATAATCTTATTGGTTATTAAAATGAGTCAGTTTATACATAAACTATTAGGTCTTTATTGAATACTACTAATTAAACTTAATCTATAAGTTCCTTTCAAGATGCATAAAGTCTTGTGAAAAGTGATGATAATTATATGAAAATGTCAGAGATTTTATATAAGGTGTACATAGGATAACGTAGTATTGTGCTCATGACAAAAACCAGAAAAAGTTGTTTAATGAATATTCTCGATTGGCTATTATCACAAGTTGAAAATCAATATAATGTAACACCATCATCTTATACATTTGTATTTGGTTTTAAAAATGAATGTAACCTAGAAGAATTAGATAGTTAGCAGATACTGTTGTTCTACCATTTCAGATATTGATAACTTATTCCCTTGAGTCATTTTTATGGACTGGACATTACCTGATTTAAACATTCCAGTCCAGATGATCTGTTCAATGCAAATGATTGTGCTGGCATCTGAAGGCCTCTTTTAGGTACACTTGAACAAATACATTCTGGCTGCTTTTGGACAGGAAACCCAGCTTGTTCAGTAGCAGAAGAGCTGGCTTCTAGGTATAGGGTACTAGTGTGAGAACCCAGATAAGCACCCTTGTGGTCAAGGTAACCAGCATGGAGACATTGATAAAAATGATGAAGATCAGAGGCGCCAGTCTGGTGACCTAAATGTGCATGTTGGGGTCCAGAGTCCTCAGACTCTGGACTCCAAAGGTCCTCAGGAACTTGACAAGCTTTCTCGGAAGTGAAGTGGCCAGTATTTGTTGAAGACCCTAAAATAGGAACAAGTGAAATAATTTAATTTTAGAGTTACTGGGATTAACCTGGCTTGCTTGGAGTTTTATCCCATGCTGTATTCCTATCCTATGTCTCTTACTCCTTAAAAAAACCAATATGATATTTAGTTTAAAAATTTAAATTTCAAAATTTAACAACATATGTTCACTGGGAGACAAATTTCAGAAACAAGGAAAATGTTATAAGAGTCAAAAATGTTCAGTAGTTTACAAGCAGAGTAGAGAAAAATTCAATAAATATATGTTTTATATTTCTCTGTAAATACATGATTACATTTAAGCTTCATGAGTTTATTTACAAAGTAATGATTTTAAAGGAAGGTGCCCCACAAATATTTTTAAAAAGCCAGCTCCACATTCAGAAAAACCCTATGACAAACTTGGCTGGAGCACACAGAACGTTTAGGGGCTCTGACTTGGACACTGTCACAGAACTGTGAACACCAAGGGCATTTTACTACTTTTATTCTCCCTAGTTTATCAGACTAGCTGTCCTCTTCCTATGTTGTTGCACTTCATTTTGTTTTGTATTTTGTGACTGTATTTTTTCTTTGTTTCTTTTTCATTTTTTCTCTTCCTTCCTTTTTTCACTGTTTACATTTCTCACTTTTCTTTTTTTGTTTTCTTCTACTGAAAATCTTTTTTTCTCTCCTCAAGTATGTCGAGAATTTATACTTTTACATGAGTAAACATTGCCTCTTCCCTTTCTGATTACTCCATTTTTTCTCTTATTCTTTATCTCCTGTGTTTTCTTGCTTCCCAAAATTCAAGTGATCACTCTTTGACCTCCAATCTTGGTTCTACTATATTTTATCTCATTCACCACTTTGTTTTATCCCTACCCATCTTAATCCTCCCTACTCCATTTTACAAAGCAAAGTCACTCCACTAAGGGGAAAATCACTGCATACAAGCACATGTTATATGAACGACCTTGTTATACAACTTTAGAAGTTGCTCCCATAGTTAAAGGTATCAGGTTAATAGTTGCCATAACTTGTCAGTAACTAACCTGTACTTGAAATTGATATTTCTAACTGTACTGATTTAGCCAAGATGTCATATATGTTATCATCAGTTTTTCTTCCTTGTAGAATAACACTGTGATTTTATGCGGACTACTCCAGTACCAAAGGACTGTGCTGAGCCAAACAGTGCATCCTTTACAAATTGGGAAGGTAGGCTCTTGGGTTAGCTATAAAAAACCACCTACATGTAGACAACATCCCTGAAGAATAGACATCTCCTAGGGAAGCCCCAGTACTAGTGATAAAGCTATCTACTGTAAGAGATTGACAAACATTGACACAGAAAACAAAACGAAATAAAATAAAAAATATAAAATCATAAGATGATGAAGCAAAATACAGCCTCAGGTTCCAGCCCAACCAGGACAAGTGGGGATCACAATGAGATAGATGACATTAGAAATCAAACACTGGAACTTTCTGAAACAATAGCAAAAGTATTGGAAAAGGCTATAGAGAAAATGATCTCTTAGGTATAAAAATAAATGATACTTAAAATCAAAGATATTAGAGTAGACACAGGTAAAAGAATAGATGTGTTTAGGAAAATAATGGAAATCACAACTATCCAACTTAGGAAAGAAACAGAATCCATGAAACAGATTCAAACAGAAATCCAAGAGATTAAAACCTCCATTGAAAGTATATACCACAGACTAGGGGCTGGGGATTTAGCTCAGCGGCATAATCGCCTGCCTTGGAAGCAGGCAGTCGTGATTTCGATCCCCGGTACCGATCAAAAGACAAAAAAAAAAAAAAAAAAAAAAAAAAAAAAAGAATATCAGATCTTGAGGACAGAATTGCAGCTAGTGATCATGAAAAAAATCTTAAAAATATCAAGAGACCATGAAAAATCAATCCTACAGCTATAAGATGAAGCAAAGAAGAGTTATATAAGACTGACTGGGGTCAATGAGAAAGCTGGAGACAGCATAGGTGCCATAAAAATCTTTTCACAGAAATAATGGCAGAAAACTTGCTAAGCATGAATAAGGAATTTAACATACCAATAAAGGAAGCATGTAGAACTCCAAACAGTCATGATCAAAATAAAACTACACCAAGACTTATAATAATCAAAATTCCAGAGCAACATATTAAAAACAGAGAAAAGAAAAAAACAAACCTGTTAAGGAAAGCCCATCAGAATCACAGCACATTCCTCAACATAAACCTTCAAGTCAAGGAAAGCCTAGAATGAGGGTATTTCCAACCCTAAAAGTAAACCACTTCCAACTCATATTGATATACCCCACGAAACCATCTTTCAAAATTGATGGAAAAATAAGATCTTTCCATGCCAAAGAACACCTTAGAAAATTCATGGACCACCAAACCAACCCTTCAGAATGCTCTTAAGCATATATTAGAAAGAGAAAATGAAGACCACAGCCACAAGAATACCAATGGAAAGAAGCCACAAAGGAGAGCAAGCAGTTAATCAGAAAGGAAAGACAGGGAAGCAATAACTGAAAAATAACACGGAAAAAATATGCCAATTGGGGTCAGTTGTAGCCACCAACATAAACAGACTCAACTCAACAATTAAAAAAAACCAGATCAGCAGAATGGGTTATGAAGCATGATTCAACAATATGCTGCATTTAAGAAGCAAATTTAACTCAGAAATTAATTCACTGACAAAGTCAAAGGACAGAAAACGATACTGTATGTGACAGGTTCCCAAAATAAAGCAAGGGTAGCTACTCTATTCACTGACAATGTGAATTTCAAAGCAGAAGAGACAAAGAGGGACACTGCCTACTTGTTAAGGGAAGATTCCAAGAAGAAAATATAGCAATCATAACTATATAGTCATCAAATTCTGGAACACCCAACTACATAATACAAACTTGAATGAACATGAACAATCAAATAAGCACTAACACAACTGTAATGGAGCACCTTAATAATTAAATAGATCACACTCTTACAATTAAATAGATCAACCAGACCAATAAAATGACAAAGAAATATCAGAATTAAAACAAAACGTGTGAACAAATGAATTTAGTAGCTGTCTACAGGTTGTTTCACTCTATTACATCAATATATATTCGTTTCAGCTGCATATGGGACAATTCTCCAAAATAAACCACATACTAGCCCGTAGAATATGCTTAAGTAAATGCAGAGGAATTGAAATTATCCATGTATATTACCTGACCTGACCAGTGCAATGAAATCAGAAATCAATGGCAAAAAAACCCCCACAAAAACCACATGAACACATGGAAATTAAATAACATCCTCCTGAATAACCAATGGGTCACAGAGAAATTAAGGAAGAAATTAAATATCTATAATTAAATGAAATGCTGATCATCATATAAGAACTTATGAATGCAATGAAAAAAGTCATAGAAGGGAAATTTATAACAGTAAACTCTCATATCAGGAAAACAGAATGAGTCCAAATAAACAATTTAATGTTGAATCTGAATCTCCTAGAAAAGGAAGAACAATTCAAACCCAAAGCTCATACTAGAGAGGAAATTATAAAGTCAGAGCAGAAATTAATGTGATTAAGACTAAGAAAAAATATAAGGAATCAAATGCCCATCAACTGAGGAAATAATAAAAAGGATATGGTCTTTTATACAATGGAGTGCTCTTCAGTCATAAGAAAAAGTGAGATTTTTATAGATTAATTGATGCAATTTAGGAACAGTCACAAGTAAAATAAATCAGACTCTTATGTGTAAACATTGCGTTTTCTCCCTAGTGTGAGAAGCTGAAAGAGTAAATGATGTACAAAAAGCACATGAGTTGTATAGTTTGTAGAACTGGAAGAAACTTTTCAAAAAGAAAGAGAAACTGAGATAATGGACAGAAGAAAAGACAGAAAGGAAAAGAAAAAAAAATATATATATACAAGATAGTTTAAGGTAGCTATACTTAGTATTATATCTGCTTCTTCATTGAAAAATAAGATTTGTGTTTATATTATTGATCCATTTCACACTTATATCTTGTAATCTGAGCAACTACTTTGAAGATAATAATATGCAATGTATTAACCTTTGTTACTCTCTTATTATCTTGTTTGAACTTTTTTATCACTGTTTTTATTTTTTATTATTTACAAAAAAGAATAAACGGAGACAAAAAAACATAATTTAAAAAAAACAGATAAAGGAGGCTCAAATATTCCCTAGGACAAAATAGGCCTTTGTCCTAAAAGTACTGAAATAAACGTGGAACACTAACTTTCGTATGAAAAGATTTATAGTTTTTAAGAGAACTGGCCTCAGGGCTGAGATCAAACAGTAGATGAATCAGTGTGAATGTGGAGACCTGACTTAATTAGATATATGGCTAATATTATGATTCTTCTCAAAATTCTTAAGGGAGAGAGAGAGAAAATTGTTGCTTATTTCTCTAATTAATGGATTAAACATTGAATTATCTAAAATAGGATAAAAATTTTATTTATATAAATCTGAATTGATTTGACATATTATTAATTTCCTACCTAATACATATCAGTTATTACCTGCAAAATATTGCAGTTAGTATCTTCTTTATAGTCCAGCAGAATGTAAATTGGAACATTTTATCCCCAACTAAAACTGAGGCTGAGCTACTGCGAAGGCGAAGGCTTTGAGTTATTGAAACTCGTTCAAGGTAAACAACACACATGACTATTAAGGAAAGAACACAGAATTTGAAGCCTGATGAAAATTTTCTCAGTTTTTCTACATAAATAATGAGGATATCTAATAATTCAAAGGCCCCTTAGTGCCTACAGGAGCTTGGTTAGAATGTCCTGAGGTATCAAACCTAAGAATGAACAAATTTTATATGAATGGATTCAAAGATTGCAAATGATCTATGTATGCCCTAGTGTATATGTTTAATTGTTTCCTGTTTAGTATCTAAGACAAATGCCAAATAGCTGTTATAGCATATCGCTTAGGAAACTATGTCAAAGTGAAAGTCTGTACATGTTCTATGGTGATAAAATTTAATTTTTGAGTATTTTCATTCTATGGTTGATTGATTATGAAAAAACTTATACACTGAGGTCACAATATTTACTTAAAAGTTCTGATTTTAAATAATGTAACCCACATGAACTTTGCATTGAGAACAATGCCTATAGCACTGTGAGCTCTCAATTTTAAGATACCATTATTGTTAAAAGTACTGTCATATCATGACCTATACCACCAATATATGTGCCATGGTGTTGTGAAACAAAATCTATTTATTTTCCTAACAAATTCTCAAGTCTTATTAGATCTGAATTTAATTTTGTATACTTAGTTAGCTATCAGATGGATTAAATCATTCTGTAAGTGGCTTGGATGAATACAGATTTGCTAATAATTCTCTGAATGCAAACCCTATGAGAATTTACTGCAGAGGTTCTCAACCCTGGCTTCATGGTAGAATCATTTGGGGCATTAAAAATTTACCAGCCTTTGACCTCAGAGGTCTGATATAATTTTTCTGGGATGGTGCTCTGTTACTAGTGTTTTAAGTGTTTCTGGATGGCATGTGGGAGCAGGCATGGATAAAAACTACTACCTTCCTGTCTTGTTGCTTGTTTTGTTCATATTCTTTTAGCTGCAAGTGTCAGGATGAGATCTACAACCTACTGGGAGATTTTTAAGAAAATTAAACTCACCATTCAGTTCCCAAGGACACATTTTTTTTTTTTTTTTTTTTTTGCTTAGAGAAAGAAACAAAATGGATGCATTTTTTAACCTAATCAGATCACCATTCATTCTAAACCCCAACATGCTCTTCCACACACATGCAAATCTGCACAAATCAAAATCTTGCCACTTCCAGAAGTCTAGTGATGTTGACAATTGCATTTTTCTAATGAAAATCTTTGAATTCTTTATACATCGGTTAAAAAATAAGATGCATTCCCCACTACATAGTCATATGACTCAATTACTCAGAGGTACAGAGTATCCCTTATCTACATGACAGTAAGCTTTCGCAAGTGTTATAAAATTAAAATGAGAATTTCTTACAGTTAACCAAGTTTCTGTTGATTTAAATTTTCAGTTTCAAACAGCTTTATCATTTTTCTTTTGTTCTCATTAAATACAATTCCCAATACAGTACTGCCTGACTCAAAAATACTGGGGACAAATCACCTAAATACACGATCAGAATTTTCAGAATAGGTGAATAAAGTGATCAGTATACTATTTCACTTATCTGTACTTTGAGGTTGAATTTATATGCAGACTTGTATTTCACTTACTAAGTGTAAACTAGCTACTGATTTTATCAGTTCTTCTTTATACCTTTTATTCTTTTCTGTAAATAAAAATGTAACTTCTTTGAAATATAAATAGTGCAAAGAAAATCAGGAGTAATTAGGCTGTCAAACATTTTTAGTGTAATTTTAAGAAAAAATACTAAAAGGCACACATTCTCTGCTCCTTCTCTCTCTCTTTTTAACCTTGGGAATATCAATTGATTAATCAAGTGTATTGTAAAATAAAGTTGATTCTGACCTATGAAAGACACAATATTTAACTACACTAAACGTATTAAGCTTGTTATCTGCTAATTAATATGAATTGAATAATCCTTAATGCATGAACAAGTTTGGCTCAATTTCCTACCTTTGCATATTCATGTCTTGCTCATAATTTAGCTATTCACATGAACCAGTCCACAGATATTGTACTGAGCATCTCTGGGTCATCCTGGTTGTAGGTTCTGGGCTCTCATGGCTTTACCTTAATGGAAGCTGTGGTCCAGTAGATACAACATTTGTACTATCCTTATGGTTTTCTACTTATAAAATCATTTGTTTTCATATTATGTTCACATGATATGAATATAGAAAATTGTCTTATTCAAGCTTCCAATCTGATATTTTCTGTGTCTCTATTGTGAAATTTCCAAGACTTTCCAAGACCACTCCACCCATTTAATCATGTGGGTTTATCAGGAAGTCTGAATTGTAGCCCTATCCCTTTCTTTGCTGTTGAATTATTTCACACTACTTTCCACACAAAGCAGAAATTCAGTTAGCAAAGAATACCCTACCTAGATCAGAACCTTTCCTTGGACAGATACTAAAAAGCTCCCCAAATTATTCTAATGCCATATTCTGAAATACCATAGGTCACTCAATCCAAACCACTTTCGCTTATTTCTCAGTTCCGAGAGGGAGTATGAATTCATTATTAGTAACTTTACTTCTTTTGTCATATATGTTACCTGCTGGTTCTAACGATGGACAACAAGGGGGAGGCTTAGCCGTCTGTTCTTTTGCTGGATGAGGAGTATACTTTTGGGTGTCTGCAATTCAATAAGATATAAATATATGTTTAAATAAATTATATATAAAAAACCTAGTGCAGTGACACATTTTATTTCTGCTAATTCACATATATACACATGGATGTATTATTTCTTATTCAAAATTGAAGAGTTAAAGGTGACTATGACCATGATCAAATGAATGTTTCTAAATTGAATGAAAGTAACTTAAAGTTTCTAACATGTAAAAACACTTTAATTATACACACACTTGTATTATAAAACCAATAGTTAAGATGCAAAGTCTTCATGTGGTGAAGTAAGGAGTTTGGTTCTCAAGACTATCTAATATATCAATCAAGCCTGAAATTATAGTAAGAGATGCATTCTTTAAGCTATTTCAACAAAAATAGAAACAATAAAGATCATTTTAAAAAATGAGATTTGATATTTGATATCTATAATGCACAGTATTTTTCTTTTGAGTACTTTAGATTGCTAATAAGGCAAAAATCTTTTATTATATGCTTGTTATATAAACATTTTGTTTAGAATTTTAAGAAAGGGAAAATATTATAGTTGGTATTCATTTAATCCTACATACATATGTATGTGATGAAATGTATATTAGGATGTTATTATAATGAACTGACAAATTTATTCTCTGTTAATTAGTATGACTTCAATACCCTTATTATTAAAACACAAAATGAAAACTGAAGTGCCTGAAATATAGATTATACTGTGCAACATATTAACCACTAATCTTAATATTTAGCTTTTCTTTGTCTCACTATTAATGAAAAATTAATGGCAATTATTGTCATTCGATTGTGTCATGTTTCCCAAAAGTATTTTTTGGTACTCCACTGCTTCTTCATAAATTTGAGTTGTTTCATTTTCTCCTTATAAACGAAGAAACTACCTATAGAAAAAAAGTGGATTTTGAATGACATACAACTCACTAACTACCTGAATTAGAATGATTCATGACTTGTAATCTTTACATTCATCTTCATATTTCACTGGAAGAAAAAGAATATAATTGAAAACTTTCAGTAAAGTTGATGAGAGACAATATTTATGATATTCCCTTTATGCAAAACAGAAAATGTTGAATTTAAATTTACTCTTGTGATCACATATTTTTACTAGGCCATGTAAGAGATTTTTCTAAATATGTATTAAAACTAAATTTGGAGAAAGAAAAGAAGGATTGCTAGTAATTTATTCCATAAAGTGCTGATTTTTAAGTGGAGAATCATTTAATATAGTGCTGTTCTGTATGTGTGTGCACATGCATTTATAGTAAATATAGCTTTTTCCTATGCAAATCTTTACTGCATATTACTTTTGTGTGGCTTTCAAGGAGTATTTATTAAATGCACAGAGGATATAAGGTGAATACTACACTTTGGAGCACTGCTCTACGGCAGTCAGAGAATAGACAGTTAAGAAAATTAAATCGTGTATACAGAATGCTCAAGTACCATAAATCAAAGTCATGATGCTATAAGAAAGGATTTTGTGGTCATAATGGAAGTGGCATTGTTGGGAAAGTTAGATATGAATTTAAAAAATTGTAAAATCAACGAGTCCACACAGGTCTTTGGTATATGTGTATGGGAGGGTGACAAGGGATATTATGGGTAAAGGGAACCTCACAGGTAGAAGACTCGAAGCTAAAGATACCATTGCTCATTCAAAAAATTAAAACACCTTTGAGGTTACAGAGCACAGGAAGGGGATGTCCACAGAGATGAGACTGGAGAACTGCATGGGGGCCAGTTTGCATAACTTTAATGTCTCTTCATCTCTAAGCTAAGCTCCTTTAGAGATACTGCTCTACAACTCACCTATTTTATATGCCACTTATCTATCCAACTTCAGAAACTCATTCATTTTTCAATCGTAGTTTAATTTCCTTAAGTCTTCTGATTATTAAAAAGCCTGCAGTTGTTGAGTATGTCACAATGACATTAAGAGAAAATTCAGCTGTTAGGAAGTTTCAAGACAGGAGAAGAAGGCCCCAATTTGCCCAATAGTTCCTATCTCATACCAGAAGAAAACCAATAGGAACCAGAAGAAAAGATGGCTCTTTCTGAACTGGGCAGTAGTCATGCTCATACTAACAAGAATAACAGTTCTTATAAGACTGCAAGATAAACAGAGTGAGCTAGATACAGCAAGGACTTCAAAAATATTTGAAATAATAAAGTATAGCTTTCAATTAAGTACTTCTGGTGTGGTTAGGTACTTCAGTAGAAACTTACATTAGTACACAGGAGTCTTAAATCTTGTATCTCTTGTATTACACAGTTTCAGTGACAAAGTAAGCTGAAGAAAGTAGCTGAGGCATGATTCAAATTCCAGCAGCCTGACTCCAGAACATACAGCCACTAAGCCATCTATCCCTTCTGCCTTTGTATGTCTCCCTCTGGTATTCTAGAATGTCAAGCATACCGTGTGTTCCAGTCATAATTCCAATTAATGCTTAACATTCAATGACAACAGGCTTTACTAATTGTTCTATTATGCTGACAGGAACTGGGGGACCCAGTTTCTGCCTATCATTAGGGGCTGCCCTTTGAGCTGTGAAGCAATGAAGCTAAATGAAAACAGAACCCAGAAAAGTCTCTTCTGGCAGAACACACTTTGTCATTAGAAAGGTCTAGGGAGGGGGTCAGGTGTTCTGCAAGGGTTCCTTGCTGAGTTTCTGCTCTATTTGGGGAATCGTTATTTGGGTTCTTGGACCTCCATCCCAGACCTTCACCACAAATCCTCCACTCTAAGAGAAAATAGCTCACAAGAACTTTGTGTACTCCCAGCATCACCTAGGCCTCATCTGAGCATCCTTGCTGGTCCCACTTCTTTGCCTGGAGTGGGGAAGAGAACATAGTTGGCTCAGCTCTTGCTGTTAATGCAGTCACAGACATGAGTTCCAAGAATCGCATCACCTGATGCTGATTGTTCTACTCTGGAACCTTTGGCTAATGCACAGATAATCCACAACTACTCCAGAAGTTAAAGGGGCAGGATTTAGGAGTGACTGGTGCTAATATCAGAAGTTTACAATAAGAATCATTCTCAATGAAACAAATTTTTAAATCCCCAATTCTTTAGGTTTGCTTTGTAAAAGAGAAAATAGGCATTTGAAAGTAATTATATTTAGAACTGAGTCTATTGAGATTTTCCAATCATTTATTATGAGAGAATAATGTGTGTTGCATAGAGACAGTATTAATCCAAAAATAATTCAGTCATTACTTTTTCTTTTTTTTTTTTTTTCTTTTTACTGGTACCGGGGATCGAACTCACGACCACCTGCTTGCAAGGCAGGTGCTTATGCCACTGAGCTAAATCCCCAGCCCCCTCTTTTTTATTTTAAAGAGGGTAAAATTAAACAGAACAATACAGATCATAAGGAAATAATTTTAAGAAACACAGATTTCAAAGCAAGACCACTGGAGAATTTCTCTGTCTATCATATTGTCTCTAGTTTTCTTCCAAATAGCTGTCCATATCTTCACACACAGTGAATACATACTGAACATTATAATACTAAACTAATCAGAACAGATGAAGGCTTTTTAGGTCTTCAAGACCAGACATTAGGGAAGTCAACAATGGCTGCCATAATGTTTCTTGTTCTCTTTGAAGTAGCTGTCCATATTTTTATGTATACTGAAATTAAACATAAGAGATTAGAGTAATATCACTCTGAACAGTGAATAATAGTATTGCTAAATTTTATATCATGATGCTACATAATTAACACTGAGTATCTTAGTGTCTCTCTTCTTCAGAGTATCTGTTCATTACATCATGCATTATATAATCTGTTCCCATAAACTGTTTAGAAATTCTCCACATGTGTGAATCTCTACATGTATACCTATCCTTTCTGTATTACAGGGAAAAACAGATTAAAACAAGAAAACATTGCTAGAAAAACATGAAATAAAAAAGACATATAAAACCGCAATATTAGGTGATCTACAGTAGTTACTATGCTGTCTCTTGTTATTTTCAATAGAATTGTCCACATCATCAGACATAACATAATTGAACATAGTATTACCTAGCAATTAAAAAAAAAAACACAACATTGGAGACACTGTAGGACTTCAAAACAGTTAATAATCAAACCTGAATTGGTATCTTTTTACATCTGGTCATCTTCAGAGTAGTTGCCTCTCCTCTTAGACTTGATACTATCAAGCATACTGAATTCGAATAACATTAGTCAAGACAAAACAGTGATCTAACAAAACAGATTCAGATAAGATCAGTCATAGTAAGACAATGTAAATACTTATAGGGCTTCAGTTTAAGTTAATAGGAAATTAAATGTATTTACCATAGTATATCCTGCTATTTTTGGGATAGCTGTCTGTGCCCTCAAATGTAGTATGAATAGACAGACTGGAACAAAATAAAATAAAACTAAACAAAGCGATAAGACTAATGTGGCTTTTAAATCTGATACACTATTAACAGTGTCCACTGCCTTCTTTTTTTAGGCAATTCCTCACCTTTCCCTTTCTCAAGGTGCTTTGTATATTTTGGGCCCCACTAACTCCTTTAGTTTTTAGATTAGGGAGGTAACCCATTATCTAAGTGGTGCTGAACCTTTCTATCCCTGAGCTTGATCTTGAGCTGTATTCCTTTACTTACTGAAGCCTCAAGGTTTCCTTCCTTATAGCTGAGTAGTTCTCCACTGCACAAAAGTGTCATGACTTTCCAACCTATCTGCAGCTGCTGGATGAGCTGTCCCTATTTCTCTCTGGTTCCCTGTCACTTAGAGCATTGTTTTCTCATCTTTGACTTTCAGGTTGAGTATATTTCCTATTCAGAGCATCTTGATGGATCCTATCTCCTGATCTACTCTGCCTGTGTTTCTTTTCGTTAGTGTATCAAGGCCTTCTATATTAGAGATTATAGTCCACGTTCTCTGCCTCATCTCTGCTATTCTATTTTTCTGCTATTATTTGTCCACTTTTCTCCTTCATTCCACTGTCTGCCCTGTTGATTGAGGCCTCTCTGCCACTGTTGCTGGAATCCTGGTATTTTTTGTCTCTCTCTCTAGAATGTCTTTCAGTATTTTTTGTAAGGTTGGATTGGTGGCCATAAACTCCCAGAGTTTCTCCTTGTCTTGGAAACATCTTGTTTCTCCATTAATTTCAAGAGAGAGTTTTTCAGGGTACATCAATTTGGGTTGGAGGTTATTTTCTTTCAAGGCTTGGACTACTTTACTCCAGGCTCTTCTTGATTTGATAGTTTGTGTTGAGAATTTTGTCATTTTTTTGATGGATTTTTCTTTATAGGTAATTTGCTTCTTTTCTCTGATTCCTTTTAATATTCTGTCCTTGTGGTGCATTTCTGTTCTTGTGGTGCCTTTGTAATGTATTTGTGGTTACTTCTGCTTCTTCGCTCACATTTTTTATTCTTAAGTTATAGATCCTCTTGTCCTCTTGTAGCATTTATATTGTTACTTCCTGGTTCTTTGTTATTTTTAAGAGGTCTTTTCTTTCACAATCACATATTGCAAATCTATCTTCAAATTTTGAAAGGCTAACTTTAGTTTCTGTCAAGGCATTGTGCCTGCTTTCAATGGAGTTTTTAATTTCCTGGTAATCTCTTTGGATCTGTTTCATGTATTCTAGATTTTGTTTATATTCTTCATCAAAGGTTTCTCTTCTTTTCTGGGTTCCTCCATTCTTCCATCCATGTCTTCTTGAGAGGGGCTCAGTATTTCTTTTATTAATCTTTTTATATCTTGCCTCACTTGGATTAGAATTTCAGTTTTAAGTTCGTCTATGAGGTCACAAAGGTATTTCTTTATGTTTGCTGATGTGGTGGCCAATATTGCATGATTGTTGTACTGAATCTCTTCTGTATTTATCCCTCCTGGACTAATTTTCCAGGGTCAGTGGCTGGAAGCTTTTTAAAATTTTTCTCTTGTCATGTTTCTGGTTTCTTTCAGACAGGTGTGTAATGGAGGTCTCAGGCCCTTTCCATATTGCTTATGGTTTTTCTAAAGCATGCTGGCTGGTGGCTTGCTGCCCTCTCCAGTTTGCTGTTATCTGAGGTGCACACAGGGACAATGCAGGCTAGCCCCAATTCTCTGAGCCAGTCAACGAGCAAGTGCCTTCAGCACCTTAGTCTGTGCTGTGTGGATATCACAGGTTCGGGACAGTTTCGTCTCTGGCTATTGGGTCCTGACCATGGGCATGACTCAGCCCAAACAGGTCCCACCAGTCCTCTTTGGGCCAGGAGCAGCTGACTAATGCCACTGAGGTTTAGGCCTATTCTGCCCAACTCCAATATGTTTACAGCCAGCTGCACCCATAGCGGGACACACTTTCTAGCACTCGCCATGAGTTAATGCAGCTCTCCATCTTGGCTCCACTCTACTCTGTGCTGCATCCTCCCACCAAAGGCTCTGGACTCACCAACTCCTGATTTTGGAGGCCATGGCTTCAGTGCAACTGTAAATCGTCTAACTCCACAGCATGCCCAGCACAGTGTGGGACAGGTCCCAGTGAGCACATCTGGTTCCAGCCTTTCATCCAGGTTTTTCCTTTCTTTCTTTTCATTTTTCCTCAGTTTATTCTTGGGTCCTGAGAATCCCTCTCCTCTCATCTGGTGTTTCCGTGTTGTTAAATTCTAGCATCTGAGTTGTTTTTCTCAGAGAGGCTCTCTACCTAGCTACCTATCAAGCTGCCATCTTCCTTTTCCCCTTAGTCATAGCTTTTTCTAGTAAAAGATTGCTCAGATAAATTTAGGGGGCAAATCTAGACATATCTATTTTAACAGTAGACAGCAATGCACTTATTGGGAGGTAGGGTTGTACAGGTATATCTCAATATGAATGGATTTGACTTCATTGAATGTGAAAGACAGCAATGTATGGATTTGACAAAAACTCCTGATCTTGCAGTAATTGTCCATAGCATGGATTCTTTCCACTAATCAACTCAGATTTTTTCTTTTACTCAATTCAGACGGAAATTACAAAATTTTCACTTCACTAGACAGGATCCAAGAACATCTTCAAAGAAGAAAGAGGATATGAGTAACCCAACTTGCCTGTCAACCTCTACAAAAATAGATTTGTTGACTTTTGTGATAGAAAAAGAGTTTCTGGAGACATCAATAAGAGACAGATTTGTGGATAGAGTTTGAACATAAGAGAAAATAAGAAAAGGAAATCTGTTCATGGATGTCTTGAAGAGCCAAAAGAGCCACAACTTTGAAGTAGAGAATCAAATTGGCTTCTTTATTTATTTATTTTTTTGGTCTTTTTTCATTTTTATCGGTACCAGTATTAATCCAAAAATAATTCAGTCATTACTTTTTCTTTCTTTTTTCTTTTTTTTCTTTTTACTGGTACCGGGGATCGAACTCACGACTGCCTGCTTGCAAGGCAGGCGCCTATGCCGCTGAGCTAAATCCCCAGCCCCTCAAATTGGCTTCTTAACAACAACAAAAATTCATTTATGGCTTCTTTAAAGTAGGCAAAGTTGATAACTCTCCACAAGGTCAGGAGTAAAACTTTATACTTTAGTAAATTTCCACCATGTAGGAAGTGGATTACTGGTCATTCTCACCTTTGGTGACATTTTGACATACCTCTACTGTGCTGCTATAGTGCATGTTGATCTGGCAATAAAGCAAAGGAGTAAGTTTGGGCACATTAAATAAAGTTTTAGCAAGAAAGAGCAGAGAAAAAGACATCTATCTTGAGGGAGTAGTAAATCATTGGTTAAGGCTTGAGAATGTATCTCCCCTGTCCCATGACGCTACTTGTCCTATTTCCGTTCTTTGTCTAGGGAGTAAAATTATTGCTGAGAACCTCACTCTCTAGCCAAAGTTCATTTCCATGCATCTAGGTGTGGCCATCTGACTGACCTACTGCCAATGTAATTTAAGGAAAACAGATTTGTTAT